TCCATAATTCCAATTTTTAACACGTATGTTCTAAAAAATTCATAATATATTTTGTATGTATTATGTTTTGTATTTGTCATATCGATTTTGTCCGTTAATTGGATACTTATCTGTTGGGCAAACTATACATTAAGTATTATTTTTTTGTGTTCTACGGCATCAATTGCATGGTTATTAGCCGTTAGTGTTTATAGTTTTAGGGCAATGTTACTTTCTTTAATGAATCCAATCAATTTTCGAATACTATTTTCATCATTTCCTAAACATTCCTTTAAATTCTTTGAGATGTGCTTTATTGTTAATTTTTCATATTAATTAATAAATAACTCCATATCAAGTAATTACGAGTATCTATCACCAAGTTAAATAATCCCGTCTACGATCAATCGATCGATCACTAAGAGCACTATATACTTATACATTTTTTTTCTGAAACTACTTTTGAAACAACTATTTTCGTCTCTAAAAAGGTGGAACAAAATGCGATTTTCCTCTCTAGTGAGGAAAGTAAAAACAATTGCTGTGTTAATATTATTAATGACATTTAAAATTGAAACATACCCGCATCTAGATTGCTATGTGTCAAACTTCATTATTGCATACAGTAATTTTTCAATTTTGATTGTAGTTTCAGAAAAAATTATGTGTAAATCTTGAGAAAAATCTTGTGTTTTTCAACGCTCGTTCAATTGGCAAACTTGCTACGCTCATATTCAAACTTTGAGCTCGATTTGAAAAACTCCACTTTCTTCTCTAGTTGTACAAATTACTAAATTACGATAATGTTAATAGTGAGAATACACTCGTGTGAATCTAAAGTGAAGACATCGGATACATTTTACTCTGTCTTCAATTTCGCAAGCCAAATTGGGGTAGTTGGTTGGAAATAGCAATCAAGTCGTTTTTAACCATTTTTTCCTTACACTATATTTATGTGCTTACTGAACTAACTTAAGCGTAGAAAAATGAATATGAAAAGCAAGACTGCTAGGAAGTCTTTTACCCAAAAGGGCACGAAATTGCCGCTCGTTGATCTTGACTCTCTTGTAATCGTAGACCGTATCGAATTATGATAAGGTTCGCTCCCTAACACTCTGGATCATTTCAATTGCCATTGTGTACTTATTACCTACTATAAGGTGACCAAATAACAGCTCCATACTGCAGCTTGGATTAGCAACTGCATCAGAGGACATTTTTCTCTATGTGTAGGTAACTTTCAGAGATTCACGTCTGTGCGTAACTTTATTAATTAAAAAGTCCCCAGTGCCTTGTATGTGGTGGAAAAATGATGTAGAATAAAGAAAAATGATCTTTGAGAAGACTCACCCTTTTATAATCCAAGCGATACGCAGTCGGCAAAATAAATAACAACTGTAGCGACTAGCGACCAGCAGATTTGATCAATAGGGGTAGCACCACGAGAATCCCATTTCCGCCATTGTGCTCCGAAATTACTTGTTTGAAGGAAAGCCGTCGGTACAACCGGAACACTCATTATATCTACAAGGGTAGTTCATCGCATGTGTTTGTTACGGAATATTTTCGAGGCTATTAAGTTAATTACCGATTATATACCTATTCGAAATGAAGGATTTTGATGGAGACGCACGTGCTGTTTATAATATGCGAAACATCCAACCTCCACTCTAGTAAATCTGTCTAAGATTTAACTAATTCTCAATCCTACATAAATAGACACACATGGATATTACTGGAATAAGTAAAATAGGGCAGGGGGTATAGTCAATTCTCGTCACAGGAATAATACCTACCTGCGTATGACGTACTTTACAATAATATGAGGATTGTTATCAGATTTTAACTCAATGCCATTGTATTTATACAATTTAGAAAATGCCAGGCCGGTGTGACAGCTTGTATGTAATGTGTATTGTGAGATTATATATACTCGAGGATCCTAGACAGTTCATTTTCTGTTATCCTTGAGACTATAGTAGGCTACTTAAAAGCGCCAATTGTGGGTGGCTATGTCATCAAGTAGGGAAATGAGACACGTGCCTATTGCCTAAATTTAAATGATTTACTAAAGTGTGACTGCCTGACTTCGTCAATGCCAGCAGGAGTGCAATAAAATACATGAAAGATCGTAATTGAGTACTTCTTTGAGCAAATTGCGAAAAACGGTCCCTATAATTCACAGTATTGTATTCCAAATCGTGTAATTCGCATGAGGGATGTGTGTTGACGACTTGACGTCTAATAATAATTGCCTAGCACTGTTAAGTAGGGCAACGTATTTAAGTGGGTTACGTTTGGATCGTACCGCAAGCCTATGAGTAATTTTCAATTTTAAAGGCCATTAAAAGCGTATAATTACCCTTTCTTAAAATTCAAGTAGATTCTTTATAACTATGCAATTGAAAGGGATCAAACATAAAATAAACCTTGATATTTTATGCCTAAAACATGAACGCAAAAGATTATGTTCATTGTAACAATTCCAACAGAAAATGGATGGTTTCTTTAAAATTTTACGTTAAACGAGAGCAGGGTCACTTTTTTTAATTATTTGCTACATTGCGAACTTTGATTTTATACAAAAGGCATGAACAATCATCCGACCGGAACATAAAATGTGCATATAATGCCCGATTTTTGCAGGTACGGTATTTTTCTTTCAGCTTCGCACACCTTGTCCTCAAGAAACATATCTTCCAGGTAAAATTCCTTGCAATATTCGCCATCGAAAGATTTCTGCTTCGTATTAGGGATTTTCTCCTAAAAAATCATCATTTTTTACATATTTAATGTCCTACTCGTATACCTTTACGCGATTTGGATTGAAAATGTTCTACGCCTAACCATAATCAAAACTATTGGGTACCTACGTAACTTTCATACACAGCCTTTATTGGTGCTGTATTTATTTCACTTTCCCTTTATTATTAGTTCAATGCTTATACCTGAAAGAGAATTGAGTAGTTCTATGGGCAACTATTTGTTAATTTGAGGGTTTTCTGAAAGTAAATGAATGCTCCTTGGATAACGACTCCAGTAAGCCAATGTTTCGGTAGGGGCGAAGATTTAGGCGAATCTCTAGGGGCGGATACTTTGGGTACAATTTAAAGGATGCTTTATTGCAGGACCAATTCTTGGAAACAAATTTATCGGGACGAATTTTTATTTCGATTTTCAAGGGCCAGTTTTCTTAATCTGATGTTGGCTTCGAGCTTGTTTGCCATTTCGACTATACCTAAATCCATGGGTTTTTGAGCTTATTTTAAAAACGTGCTTCTTCACGTGGGTGTTTCGCTACCCTGATGATTGCATCAATTTTTGTGTAACTTTAGGGGGTTACACTTACGAATAAACTTAAAGTTAGTGTATTTTATTCGAATTTGTTGCCACAGTTTTCTTTTAGAACTTGAGGTACAAGGTGGCGAAGCTTTTCGCTGGGGCGGCAGAACTTAGATAGCTTTTGGTGATATGTGTTTGATTCGCAAATATACGCAAACGTCCTTTATTAACGAGCTCCTAGAGAGTTCATAATTTTGCGGCGTTTGTCCGTCTGCCTGTCCGTTAGCACAATATCTCCAAAAAGAATGGACCGATTACGGTGAAATTTTGCAGGTGGATTCTTTATCATACCTGTAGATTAGAATTCGTAAATTGTCAACTCACGCCAAAAAATAGGGACGGCTCCGTTAGTTATGAACCGAATTGTATGAAATTTACAATAGGCACAATTTGTTTACACATTTATTTTACTTTGTAATTTTTGTAATTAGCATAGGATGTATGGTAATTGTTGTTGTAATTTTTTAACATCCCGCAGCACAGCTGGTGGCACAATATCTTAAACATCGGTGTAAAGTCACGATTATGAGAGAAATAAAATTACCAGATGTTGTCCTACAGATTGAGAATTGTAAAATGTAAATTGAGAAAGAAGGGAGAAAGTGAGTGTGTACATGCCATGGAAGCTTTTCAATCGCTCTTTTTCCTTTCTTGTAATCAATGAAGTCCCTAGAGCTATTCTCATGTGATGAATAGAGGACAACACTGATTTGAATTTGGATAATGATTGTTTTTGTTTTTACTTAAATTTTACTCTCCCAATTTCTTGCGCTTTATTTGTGTTTCAAATGAGCTAATGATTTAATTTAATTTAATTGTTTTTGAGGAGTTGATTACTTAATAGTTTAGGTATGTACGCGTCAGAAGAGAAGAAAGTAGATCCATTCCGATTTTGGGTCAGGGGAGGGTCAACCGCTCAGCTCAAAATTATTTGAAAACTCGACAAATTCTTCGTTTAGCTACCGAGCGAGAAGCGACGTACAATTGCTACAGACTCTCAACAGAAAAGATTAAGAAAAATTTAGTTCGGTTTTGTGTTTAAAAAAGTGCCACAAGGAATTATACATTTACAAAAACACAATGAATAGGCCCTTATACAATTCACTGAACTCAGAAAAAACTTTTCGTATGTAGAAACGGCTCCGCTTTTCGAAACAAAGAGGAAAGGCTCGAGTATGACAAAAAAGACTATTGTTGGTCATCGTATTGAATTGTGCAAGGTGCATAAAACGAATTAAATCGGGAACGAGAACTAGGACGTGGTAATCTAAAACTTCGACCCAGTATTTGTGGCCTTCGTCATCTACGATGTTACATTCTCCCCAGAAGTTTGCAATCCGGACTACCTTCCACCGCCAGTGAAAATCCACTTTAACAAGAAAATTTTCCTTTCCTTTCCCCCCCCCCCCCCCCCCCATTTCCGTCACATTCCACCGCTACCAAAAAAATGTGACGCAGTTTAAAAATGATACACACTTCAAGATAGGTTTGAGCTACATTTAAGTGTTTTATTATTAATTACGTGATAATGATATATCTTCGGTTTAATATTTTATGATTTAATTATTTAACGTGTACTATCTGTATTTCAGAATGTAGGATTCGAAATCAAACAATTTGAAAGTAGCACTTGAAGAGTGCCGACAGAAGTGATTATGTCTTTCTCTCTCATACTCCCTTGCTCCATTCTTAAATCTGATCATGATTACAAATTAGACGTAAAGATATAAGTTCACGAAACGAGCATATCATAATGCTGGGCCACAGATATACACGTATATCTGTGGCTGGGCTAAACATCGTGAAAATCTATAATAACAGGTTAAAAATTCGGATCCTTCGTTACAGTGCGTACAGGCATTCTAAAAATGTTCATATACCTAGCTAAAAGCAAACTAAACACCTACGAATTACAACTTTGAGTCTCAAATTTGCTCTCAATGCAACATATACCAACGAGGTATGGTTTTCTACAAACATCTGTTTCAGTTTCTGCAGATTTTATACATTTCATGGCCGTTTCTGGCGTTATATGGACAACTTCCGCTAGTTCCTTGGCATTTACATTATTATCCGGTAGAATCAATTTGTTATTTCTCATAACGCACCTTATGTAGCACTGAAAATTGGCTTCATCGGGCATATACAAATCTTCCAAAATTCTTGGCGGTATCGTGGGATCCAGATTTGCTTCTTTTGAACAACTTTCGATAAAATCCTTTTGCAAATTGTTCCAGTCGGTAATAACTTGGGGATGTAACTATAACGAAACAAAATGAGGTCGTTATCTAATTAGAAAGTTGCAGTTTGGCTTACCTTCGACTGCGCTAGAATGATCTGAACACATAGCAGGATAAAGGACTTCATGTTGAAGTACGAGTAGGTATTCACTACAGTAGACCAACTACAATTCTTTATTTATATGAATTTAGTTCTTAGCGTTGCAATCCAATTACCCACATTAGTACTAATATAAATGATAATTGATTGTAATTAATCCAAAGTAACATATTTTTATTCAAGGCATTCAACGGTAAGAGATGTTTTTGTAATTTCACAATAGAAATTAAACAAGCTTTCTGGGTAAATAGCTTCTAAAATACTTTATGTTGGTTAAAATGTGCGTCAAGGAGATACAATTTCATTAAGGGTGTATTGTTCGATAGATAAGTACGTATTGCAGATCGTCACGATTCCCATGCAATGCAATCTTCCAACGTAATTGCTATGTTTTTCTCCTTGCGTTACGTTCGCGTGACAAATGAGATTTTATACATACTTGATATATTCCAATAGTTTACCACCGCTTATAAACGATCCTATTTGTTTATAATTTGTGCTTTATTTGAAAAAACGTCCCAATTTTGGAGTTGCTTTTATGTTGTTCTGGAAAATTTTTTAGAGATAAAGCGTTCTATTCATAACTGTATACTTCCAAATGGGAATTTTCAGGGCGATCGATGCGTTGCAGGTTATACGGTGTCAATTGCAACGGATGCTGTGGGCCGATTTAGACAAGATCACATGCATTAACACAAAGCAACTAAATCAGTAGGTACTGATGTGTAATGAGGTTACTTAGCCACCGTGTTGTATAGAAAAGAACACTTGTTTACCGTAAAAATCGTTAACGAAGACGAAAGTTTCGCTCTTTATAACCCTACACAGGTCCTGTAATTTACAACGTATTGAGAAACTTAGTTTCACCGAGGACTCCTAGTCTGCAGTTATCATTGACCGAATAAAAAATAAAAAATTAAGACTATTACAGATTAGATACTGGAGATTGGCGAAATATTCATTTACCCAAAATCGTTCTGTAACCTTCATTTATTTCATACTGTCCGCTATTAGTGTTGCCGCGAGACGAGACGAGACGAGACTTTCGAAAGTCTCGTCTCGTCTCGTTACCTCGAGACGAGACCAAGTCTGAGTCTCGTCTCGTCCTGGTTCAGTCTCGTCTCGTCTCGTCTCGTCTAGTCTCGTTTGGTCTCGCCTGGTCTCGAGACACTATCCAAATATAGTGTATGTAGGTAGAGCAATGAGCATATAGCATATAAAAGACCACGAACTACGAAGGCATGACAAGTAAATAATAGGAGTAATATAGTAGGTACGAGAGCCGGACGCATGGAACCAGTAGTGATAAGCTAACAAGATGAAATCTTTGTTACTGGATTCCTTGCAACTTGAATAACACAAAATGAGTCTTCTGCCAGCCTTTTTCTGGCCGGAATGTTATTAAAAATAGGCACTTCCGGTGAATTTTTTTCCGCAAATTAAACCGAAAACCAAACCACCTGAAATTGATAACCGTAGGTTGAGGGCGATGGGTTTTAAGGAAAAATTCTTTTCTACCGAGTTTTGTCCAGCCGGAAATAGCGGCAGAAGCGGATTAATTGAACTGTTTTTTTGTGAATTGCTATACTCATAACACAACAACTGGAAAATTCACATGCATATAAATTGAAAGTCACCTTTTCAGGAAATGTTGGTCTGCCTGCAGTTTTCCGGCCGGAAGTTAATTCTGCCAGCCCCTTAAATATCGCCTTTCATAACCACGGGTTCTCTTTTTTAGAGGGTAAGTGAGCCTATGGACTAGACAAGCAGGCCTCAAGATGGCCTCCGTGTCCGTGGGCACAATTAAACAAGATATGTACGAAGAATCGCATACGATTTTCAGGGAATTTTTTGACAGCTCGTAATCGGAAACACGACTTCTAATCCGCAGTGATCCTTGAACTCGTAGAAATCGATTCGCAAAAGTTTATCTTTTTTTGTTCTCGATTTAGACTATTCCGCTAAAACAGTACAAATAAATACAAACAAATTCGAGACCAAACGAGAGTCTCGGCGAGACTCTCGACGAGACTCATGCTTAGTCTCGTCTCGTCGAGACGAGACGAGACGAGACTGAACCTCGGTCTCGTCTCGAAAATTCGAGACGAGACGAGACGAGACGAGACTGAGTCTCGTCTCGGCGGCATCACTATGACCGCTATACAGTACATTACATCATTCATTTGAGTCCGGAAAGTGATCTATTACATCACAAGGCCGGAAAGTGTTGCGTAGCAACTGATAATTTTGTGACAAGAAGAAACGTCAAATTTATTTAAGATGATAGCTATTTACATTATCACTCGAAAGCTTCTTGGAGCGAAAATTGCAACAATTTCTCTACAAGTTTAAAAAATGCACTCCATCGCACTTATTAATGACTGTAAATATGTCTACGTTACGTCTACCGTGAGTTTTTGTGTCCTGATGAATCCGAAATTAAAAAGTTGTACAATTAGGAGTCATCTAACCTTTACTAAAAGGTAATATTTTGTAGGTGCTGTCATCTTGACATATTTGGAAATGTTTTCATTTATCATGGTTTTGCACATTGAATATTTGGCCCACAATGTAGAACTAGAGAACTTTTTGGCTTAGAAGGTATTCTATTAGTTTAAGGAAGGCTTGTTAGCCATAATTATTTTCTTACCGCATCCAAAAAGTTAGAAAGCATGAAGTTTTCGTTCACATTATTATCCTCATTGTACCTTTTTTCGCCAAGCACAAACTATATAACTGATACTGATTTCTGGGGATGAGATTTTCTACAGCTTCTTCACTTTTTGAACAAATCACCCTTACAAATTCACCACCAGAAAAACATGCGGCGTCCATTTTGTTTTAAAATAGGTAAATGAACAACCAAACAATTCGTGCGTAACTATGCAACGATACCGGATTCAAAGGTGATGCGACTAAAGATGACATGTGTTATGTAAAATAATCAAAAGAAATCTCAAAATTGAGACAGTATGAAATAAATTAAATAAATTTTGTACGATACACGGCCGTGAAGTGATCATTAAAGCACTCGTTTAGAAATTCCATCTAAACTCGTACTTTAATAAGCCACTTCCCGGCCTTATAACGTAAATAACTATTTCATGCCTACTTTCTGTCAGGAAATTGTAGTTTCCAAGACGGAGGCAGATGCAGACTACGTTTCTTGCCGCTTGTCACTTTACTGGCCGCACCTGTCACTGTACCAGCCGCACCTGTCACTTTACCGGCCTATAATGACTGATCACTGACAGATTGACGTTATTCAAAAGTTCTATATGAATATTGAAATTTTACATTAAATTACGATTTCGGGTAAAATTTAATACAAAACTCGTCAGTAAACTGACATTACCTGACTCGTAAATTCAAGCACTTCAATATTTCCTCGGCAGTAATGTGTCATTTTCCTTACTTTTATGTAAATAACTATTTCTACAAATGTGTGAAGCTTAGAAAGTGCTTTGATGGATCGTTTAGTTTAAGAAATTTCGAATGATAATATCCAGAAAAAGCTTTCGTCTCAGCAGGATTTAAATTTCTCAGATGCCTGTAAAATAGCTATAGGATGTGAATTAGCAGAAGTGAAGATGATGGGTGGTCAGTAATCAAACGAATCAGTTAACAAATTATAGAAAAACCAGTTCCACAAAAAGGGTCCGAACAAGTCAAGATGTCAAAATAGTGGCAGCAATCTTTCGGTATGTACTGAAAGGGGAGCACAAACAGTAAAAAAGTTTAGAGTTTCAGAGGTCACTGAACAATTAGTTCAGTGTAAATTGGCAAATTTTTTATGTTGTATCAGATTAATGAAAGTCTTTTAGTTAGAAACAATCATTCTTAAGTATGGGAGAAAGGTATTTAAAAAAAAACGTTTACATTAGTATCTGCAATCGATAGAACACATTAAGTATGTACGAAACCATACGAATAGTACTACACTGATACTCATTACACCAACAATCCACAATGCAGCACGTTCGTGTGGTTTCCTAGACGCTTATTCTGTTCTGTCGATTGCATGTGCTTTTCATCCAAAAAGAAAAACATTTGTTTAGATATTCAAAGGTTTGCGCTTCCACAAAGAAGGTGGATACTAACTTTCCCCGCGAGCTTTGAAACTTCCGTAAGTCTGGGAAAATACGATTCCCGGTCAAACCGGCTTAGTTTTTCGAACTTGGACTTTAACTAATGGTCACTTTTAATTCAACGGGAAGACTGTGTTCACCCCAACCATAACGTGAATCCTTCCGGACCTAAACTGGTCGCCTTGAGTCTCAAACCGCCTCGAAGTCTCTCCAAAGACTATAATTCCCACTCAATCTTTAGATAATTAAACACGCCTAAAACTGACTGATTGATCATGAAGACGGCCATTAATTAATCTCCATTTGTTAAGGTTTTTAGTTCTACCAATCCCCACTAGTTCTAGGTTAGATATTTATTTCAAAAATTTTACCCAGTAAGCGTTTTCCACAGTACAGTTGCATTATGTAATTCAATGCAATGTAAGGTTAGCTCCTAGTTAAAACGAATGTAACTTGATACAAAAAGCAGAGCTTCGTCGCCAAATTGTTGTGTAATTGTCGGACAAAGGTATTATTACCATATTAGATCATTAAGAAACAATCAATAAACAAAAATGTGTGGTTTCTCACGACCCAGTAACTCTATTAAAATCGCGAAGATGTACATTTGTAAGGTATTTAAGATATGTACAGAGAAAGGCATGACCAAGGTAAATATTTCGCAAAACAATTAATATTAACAAGGTTACCAAGTTGTGTGAAACTTCTAAATGTAATAAAACGTTTTAATGCTCTAAGAAGGCGTTTAGATTTTCGATTAATTTTAATAGTTCGTGGGGGTTCGTGTACGGTTTTATTACCAATCACTCGTAGCAGTTGTTTTAGACTTTAAGAGTGATTAAATTGAATATCATTGCTAAGGATACAATACTCTAGTCTAATTAAAGTAATGCACACACAGTTCCTTGATGACGTAGACCACAGGTCGCTGTAACGCTGAACTTGTTCCCTTTTTCCTTGTTAAAAAAAATTGCAATTTATCCGGAAATACTTCACACTTCCCTGGCGCTGACTTGAATTGTTGATTTAAGCACCACTTTCGATTGAAGGGTGTTAGTTTCTGTAAGTTCTCATAAAATCGTCGTTTGTTTTCCTTTCATTGATTTAAAAATTGAAATTTGTACTCAAGTACTTAGCATCTGGATACCGCAAGAAGCAGGCAGTGGTACTTATATGAAACAAGGCGATGGCCCCTATAATAAAAGAATTACAACTATTTTTATGCAGATCGTTTTCCGTACTAAATTATGCTATCCCTCGAGGCAAAAATGCAGGGTTGATTCCCAAATGAAATACTTAAGTGATAAGTATCACTGGCTTTGTAATTTTTCTATCGAGTTACGTAAAAATCCAATATGGCGTTCATTTAAAATAAGGAAGTTGATGTCAATATCTCGAAAACCCCCATTTTGAAAAAAAAATTTACATCCATTGAATTTATCCCATCGAATTTTGCAACTTTTATTTGAAACTTTTTTCGATAGCTTTCTTTGTTAGTAAAATATTTGAACTTTTTAAAAATGGAGATTTTCACTTTTTCCAATTATCTACGAAACGAATTATTTTTTTCAAAATATCGCATCGGAATATCCGTCAACATTAAAGACTACACAATTTTGCCATTAACCGAATGTGTAAGTATAATAATAACGAAGATAGCCATGTTATCCTACTCAATTTAAGACACTCTGTATACATCCTGACAAGTGCAAAGACTGTAGGTACGGTCTCTCGGCACAGTAAATATTATCTATTTATCTATACATCTGCATGCTTCTTGCGGTATCCTGATGCTGAGTACCTTAAAACTTCAGCTGCCACTTGGAGCCGCTCTAATCCATCTAAAGGTCTTGTCAGAGAATGTAAAATGTTTCTTGAATCATTTGATCTCCATTTCAATTTTACGCTCTTTCCCTAGATAGCATCCTGCCAGTAGCATCATCACCACATTCTCGACAGTATATAGACACTTATTGGGATGTATTCTTGACAAAATTGTTCATTTGGTAATACCAAAGTAAATATTACTCAATAGTAGTATTTTCCAAACTATGGGTAGTGACCCATCAGAATATTAAGGGCGATTCGCCACTATATGACATGAATAAAAAATAGGAAGTGATAAATTTCATATTTCATTCAGTTATTTTTAATTCCCAAAAATTTAAATAAACAAAAAAGCTAATAGGTGGGTTCCATGATTGGAAACTTTTGTTAGATGGGTCGGAGCCTAGTCAACTTTGGAAAACACTGCTCACTCATGGTATTTCATGTTGAGTCCATAAACTGTGCATAATTTCTCGTTCCCATATTGCCTTGGTGATTTTATATGTATGATTTCATTAACAAGTCAGGTAACTTTTGGCGAGTGAGTTTTGCCGGACAAATTTTAATTTTTATATCAATAAAAGGTAAACAATTTTAAGAAAACTTACACAAACTAACACCATTCAATCGATGGTGTTTAAACCAACAATTCAAGTCAACGCCAGGGAAGTGTGAAGTATTCCTGGACAAATTTCCTTTTTTTTAGCAAGGAAGAAGGGAAAGTAAACGAAGGTTCAATGAAAACTTACAGAAACTAACGCAATTTTATCGAAAATCACCTCTGAGCTAACAATTCTAACAAATGTCACGGGAAATGTGAAGCACTCCCTGAACAATTTTGACTTTGCGATAACATCGGTACCGAAGAGAAACTTACGTCACTATTGCCAAAACCAACTAAAAAGTATCAGGTAAATTATAAATTGACACACCTGACTCAACTTCCAGGAGCAACCTCACGGACCTTTGCACGTGCAAGCCGGCTTACTGGTCTAAAACGAATTATTGATTACATTCCGAAATCGGGCAAGTTTCGTGCGTATTGTGGATTCCTTTTGGGAAAGCGGCTTGGCACGAAACCCCACCCACTTACAATAAAAGCAATGAAATAGAAACTAATATATTTTATTTCTTAAATGCTACGCCCTTGGTGATGGAACAATTAAAAGTGAACAAAGACAAGTGCAACTTATATAACTTATCGGCCACTGGAATTGACTTTGTCATCTATTGTGCACTTAGCAACGAGGTAAGTTTTCCTACATATTTCCGATTCAGTTCCACCCAATTCCCTGCACACCTTCAGCACTTCTGGCGTCACGTGAATATCTGCCCCAAAGGCATCATAATCAATATCCTTTCCATCGGGCGTCAACATATGATTGTATTGAAAAATACATTTCAGATAGCAGTGAAAGCTCTCTTCGTCGGGAAGATTAATTTGCCTAAGCATCGTCCTCGGAATCATAGGGTCCACGCCCGTTTCTTTTACACAAGTGTCAAAATACCGAATGTGGTAGTTTTCCCAATGAACTATTACGTCTGGCCGTAGCTTTAAGTAAAATGGATTTAGGTAAAGAAATACAAACATATAGGTATACCTACCTTCAACTCTACTGAACTCATTATGAAGCACAATATTATAAGAAGATTCGCACTTGATCGCAGGCTGTGCACGATAAAGGACTTCATGTTAAGATGGTAAACGCATCTGCCAAAATTCTACATTTATAGGAGTTGGGCGCTATAAATTGCTCGCACTAAAACAATACAAATGGTAATTGACATGTAATTCTTCCAAATCAACACATTTGCATGCAATGCATACATTAGAGAACAGAATCAATTAAGCAAATTTTTTGTTGTAATTAATCGCTCAGGTTTGTCATCGTAAAAAAATATACGCAAGGTCAAGGAAAGAAAATATATGGAGTGCAACTGAAGAGTGTACTATGAGATAGGGATAGATTCTGCAGATTGATTAAATGATATCCAAAAAATGAGCAAAACTATGAGTTAACCTAATGATTCACCAAGTCAAATACTTGCTACTTGCTTACTTAATATAAGTAAATAATGTAACTAAACTAATAGTCCATCTACGAATTAAAACGAAGACAGATTTCACATTAGTAAGATATGCAAAAACTGTTGGCTGTAAATAATCTTCGTTTTTAGAACATTTACAATCTTTTGCAGGGGTTGTAACTTTTGTAGAACATCATATATTTTTCGTTGACAGATTATGTTTAAATAATCTATAACCAACCCCGCAACTGCAATACAATTGAGCTTGGTTATTTTTTAGCATGTATATTGTTGTGCAAAGGTCAAGTGAAATGTGTGAATGTTTGTATTTAATCTGCAGATTTTTTATTACCAATAAGTAGGGAATTGGTTTATTTCACCAGAATATATTATTTTAGTCTATTTTTCCATTTTAGAATTTGTTTTCACAAGTTTATGGCCTTAAATCCAATTGGTTCTAGGTACCATCATAGTAAGAGTTTAAATAAATAAATAAATATATATTTATTGCTCAACAGCAAAGCCAGTTACAGAGCAACATCACAATTATTAATCTCACCTAGTGGGCACGTGCTAGTAAACACATGCATACTAAACTTAAAACATGTAAGAACAAAAAAAAAGGTAACATAAAATAGGAGAGCATCCATTCACACTGAAATTTAGCTTCATACTGTTATGTAATGACTCAATTATAACAAAAATATTATTTCAAGTATCTAGAAAGAAATTATAATTATTTGAGAAAAGGCCATAATAGCTACCAGTTATCTACCATTATTAAAAATGACATCTGCAGTGTTTGGGTAACAAAGATATTACACTGCTATATCCATACGTTTACAAAATAACTTGGTCAGATTAACTATAAGTATTTAAGTAACAAAGAATTCAGTGATCTTTTCTACCTAGTTACATTACCAGTTACATTTTACGAAAGCTAATATCTAGCAGAGATGCGAATAGTAAAGGAAAACCTTAAAATACGCATAATACAAGAAATTATCTTTCGTGATTAGCGGACAGATAAGGAAGGACATTATTATTTGCTTGTCATGCCTTAGTGATGCCTTTTATATGTCCTACATCATTTTTGGATAGTTTGGCGAGACCAAGCTAGACCACGAGACTAGACGAGACGAGACGAGACGAGACTGAACTTCAATACTACCTACTTTCATCGCCGGCTTCTGTAGACGATGGCGGGGGTTGTTTATTAGTTGAGGAAGCTTCGATATTGACCAAAATTATTCCTGGTCTTGTGTCCGTAGGATTATTCGTTGATATTGTTGCTGGTTTTCTTATGTCATTATTATTACCCGATGTGTGGTCGAAGTTGCTACATAGAAAGCAGCTTTCCGGTATAAATTTATCGTTTAATTCCTTTGTGAGTATCATGGAATGTGTCAACTGTAGAAACTGAGTCCAGCCAAATACATATTGTGGCTCCAGATAAACGTGGTGCAAAAATTACATTTTCCGGGCCAACAATCGTACCTACTTCGGAAATATACTCCAGAATTTGCACCTCCTCACTCGAAGAGAAAACAACGACCTGTTCTTTTTGAGGGAATTTCAATTTTTTTTGTAGTACGGACGAGTATGTTGAACCGGATAAATTAATGATAGACCAAAAATATCGCTAATCTCTCGAGTGTTAAGCTACGTTTTGCATTTTACGTACTTAAGTAACCCTTCATGTAATGTTTAGCTGTTTAATTACTTTTATATTTATTTTACTTTATTCGAAGTCTGATGATGGCATCTCGGTGCCGAAAGTAGTAGCGTTTATCTCATATTATTCCTACCCTTTAATCAACGCCAATCTGTTTTGCGTAAATTAAACGATTCATGGTGGATGGTTGGTTGTAATATTCCATTTATTCTAAGCACTATCTTCTAGGTTATATTTAAAATTGAATGTAGATATAAAAGACAGACATCCCACATAGCAGACTTATATACATTGCATATACCATGTACATTCCACGTGGGATATTGTATATCCATAGAATGTGGAAAAGTGTGTCGCAAATGTCCGATGTATGTGCTTGGGATATAAGTTTGGCAGACTTCACATAATACATAGTATATACGTTTTGGATGTCTTATGTATATGCATGTATATGCATCAGACATGCTATGTATATTGGTATACTGACAACTGGATATATCATGAATATTCCTATAATATGCAAAAGATGTTCAATAGGATATTCTATGTATGTTGTATACCTACATTCAGAATGCATGTTCTATAGAGATTCCTCTAACATTCGGGAAGTTTACTAGCGTCCACTATACCTTCATAAATAAATTCTTTTCACGGAGTGGAGCTTTTTGTTTATTAAGTCTCTTAGTGTACAATGGAAAATGTGCTTAAGAAATTATTATTGTTTTATTTAACACTGTAGTCTTGAGCCATTTTGATCGTGTTCTTGTTCAACACTATAATAGGGCGAGTTCATAACAAATAGGTTGCTAACATACCTGCCATTCTTGTCCTTATATTAATTCCTATCCAGTCTTTATTACATCTCACTAACACATATTTGCAACTTTAGATCATGCACACACGAAATAAAAATCATTACTTTCACTGTCAAAATTAGACAAACAAACTCATTAATCACTCGCAGAATAACACTCCTGATTTTAGAAAAATGAGCTGTATTTGCAATAGCACCTTACTATCTTCATCGCCGTAATTCATAGAAAATGAGACGCTAACGTTTGTAACGTCGGTAATACAGAACACGCATGTATCAAATCCAAAACGCATATACATAACATATAATCCCATAGCACATCCAAAATGTATATTTATAGAATATCCATACTGAACATAAAATACATATGCCTATCCTATAATGAATTTACATAGTATATACATAAGATGGACAAGATATTCCCTGTACTATGTGGGATGTTTGTAAATAGTGTAATTAGTATCCTACACATAATGACATTTTTCACAAATTTACTATACGTATATAGCAAAGACTAATGAACGGTTAAAGTGATCACTTTATCTATCCTTATGGTTAAAGAACGGCTTAGCTTACTCATTCAAACCTATTAAAATGCCTATTTAACATTTGCTATAAAATAAACGAAATTAATCATGTCGCTGTCCGCTGACGTGAAGAAATTTATTTGAAATAATGTACGAATAGAAATAATTGAAATTATAGCTAATGCCATTGCTCATTGTTATTGTAAAAGACAATAATGTCTATAACAGCTATCACATTAAGTCCATGAAGTATAAACCACTAATAAATTTGTGGTTAAACTTCTTGTGTGAAAATATCTTTTGTCCGCGAAAAGAGAATGGAATAAAATTTACAGAGAGTATTTCCACATCTCTAACAAATTAATATATGACGCTCGCGTTACTTCCTGGTTTCTAAGGTTCTAAGTAGTGACCTCCTTCAAAAAAATTTACGGTGGTAGAAAGAACTAGGTAGAAAGCAAAAACGAAGTATAGCTATTGTGCTGAGTTTCAGTTTCAGAATAACCCCATGACCGACGATATTTTAACACCGTTCAACGTATTCACACGATAAAACATAATTCGGTTTTATGCCATTCTCGTGCAGAATTTCGAATTACTAATTTGCGTTTCCATTATTGGAGTGAATCGTACAGCTTCAACTACATCGTTCATTACACGTGATGTAGGTGTACATAGTCCTAGCTTGGTACTAATAGCCTTGGGCATAATTTGTTATGGATATGAATTGCAAATTTGCAACAAACATCCCAGACCTCATTTACTTAACTCACCCTTAGTTTTTTACTTGTTACTATCCAAACCGTTTATTATAAGGTTTATAAGACGCTAAAACGCGAGCTTTAAATGCAAATTTTGGAACACAAAAGTATGTTTAACCTTCTACGTTTACCTGTGTCAAAACAAACGCGCACCTAAAATTACCATAGTGTGTCAGATGCCATTTGTGTAATTCCCATGTAATAAATTAGCAGCTTGAGTATGATAAGTAACCAATTCTTTTAAAACGGCTTCCGTGAACTAAGTTCCGTACCAACGCAAAAGCTGTATATACTCGTGGCAATGAAGTTTCTTATAATAATGCTACTTCTCGTTTTTGCGCAACAACGTTGCAGGTAATTCTACTATAAATATAATCATTTTTTATTGTAATTTTCATAATTAGTTCGAAAATCATCAGCGATTGGGAAATCGGTCTGGAGAAGTACTCGATGAAATGCGCCAATGAGACAAATCTGGATCCTACGATTTCCAAACGAATATTAAGGGAATTCTATATGCCGGACGAACGAAATTTTCAGTGTTTTTTAAAATGCATAATGGAAAATTCGGGCGTGTTGAAATCAAGTCACGAGGTGGACATCCAAGAGCTTATTGAGGTAGTACACATTACTCCTGAAATTGCACGGATGTGCGTAGCAGAAAGCGACGTTGAAAAAAATGAGTGCAGAAAAATGTACCTGATTGCCTTATGCAGTATGAGAAGGCTTCTGTGAATGATTAACTGTGACAATTGACTTTATTGTATATCAATATGTTAAAGTACGGTCTTATGACATGTTCTTACACGGCAAATACCGTGTACATTTAGTTACAGTAGTAAACCGGGTAAAGGAATCAGATGCATTGGAGAAGGTTTCGGCTAAAAAGAGAATAATTAAATTTCAGTGAATAGTGTTTTATAGGGTGCCCAAAGTAAAAATCAACAAAATGGGGATGCCGGAAGCTGTAGGTAAAGGTTATAACTCCTAGACAATTAAGGGACTGTTCAGACAATCAGAAATTTCCATTTAGTTCCGGAGATATTAGAAGAAGTTGTAAATCGGCATATGCAATAGTGCATTTTTGGTGATACATATGGAATATAGAAAGAAAACCGCCCGCGCAACTTCTTAAAAAAATAACTTTATCCTTTTCAGAGCGCTTTCCCTTATACTGAATATAATTACTGTTCATTCTTTGAAGCCATTTGTCAATACACTAAGAAAACTTAGTTTAAGTTCATTGTTCTTCACCGGTTCATGATTTACTTGCAGATGCGAGCGGTTACAGTCGATTGGGAAAATTATCACATTCCACAATTTGACTTGTGCATAAGATACCGGCGTGGATCCTTTGATTCGGAGGGTGGTGTTCAGGCAACAAATTTTCCAGACCAAAAAGTTTTCACTGCTATACAATTTTTCCCGAAATCGTCTTTTGTAATATAAAATTCAATTTTCATGTAGTAATTAACTTAATATCAATGTGGCAGGGGTCATTAGACATTACCAATGTGATGCGATTTGATACATCATTTGTTCTGAAGAAGCTACGATCAAAATTGAAAAATTATCGCATGCAATAATGAAGTTTGACACATAGCAATCTAGATTCGGGTATGTTTCAATTGTACATGTCATTATTAACATTGACCCAGCAATTGTTTTTTACTTTCCTCACTAGAGAGGAAAACCACAGTTTCTTCACCCTTTTTAAAGAAGAAAGTAGTTTTTTCTAAAGTAGTTTCAAAAAAATGGAATTTATCAATACAATGTGATATTGTCGTCCGATGAAAGATGGATTTTGATGCTCTCGCATTCTAGCGGAAGCTAATATGACGCCTGAAATGGCAAACATTTAGTAGTGTAGTACCTGGACCTGAATCGAGTATTTGGAGAAAAATCCACCTCGTTAGTGCGCAGTAGATGACCAGGAATGCCCGATGTTGCACAATCCAAGTCCATTATTTGCAGCAATTGCAGCGTATTGTAAAGTAAACCACAGGTGAGGTGCAAGAGGGGGCGGGATGGTTGAATTATTCCTTGACTAGCCATGTCGTCGTTGAACGTTCTACATATTCCACTCGAAGTAATCTATTCTTCAGGTCTACGTAAACCCGAATTTTCTCATCAAAGCCATTCCCAAAATCACTTCATTGACGATGTCTGGAACCAACATTTGATGCGCACCCAGCATCTTTAAAAAGGCTAGAACAGTGAAATGAAAGTAACAAAAGAAATAATGGCTTATTCTAGTCAATATCAAAATGCAGTTGTCTTCAAAATTAGAGAGCGTATCCCCTCAAATACAAAAATATTGAAAATTATTAGCAAATTTCCCCCCCCCCCCCGCGCAATTGAACAAGGATCTCATAAAAATGACAACCGGGTATTCACAAAGGTCTCCTAACACAATATGACAACGCTCAATAATTGTTTTGATAAATAAAACACAGGTGCAATCATAAGAAAAAGAAAACTCAGTCAGGAATATACAATTTATAACAGCGCGAACTGTTTATTACTTCGGGGGAACTGAACTGAAGCCCACTTCGATTTGCTTATATAGTTAACTCGAATGTTCACGAGTGGTCCCGAGTCTTCTAGAACAAAAACGTCATATTTCCCGAAAAGATTACATGACATCCGCCTTCGTTTTTTATCACCGATGGCTAATATTTCATCAAGAGGAGATTTTTAGAGACTTGAGAATCTTAAAGGCTTTATAAGGGTATTTAAAGTCAAAGGACGGAGCTTTTAAGAGTCTTTAACAACAACCTTTTCTCTCCATGAGCGTTTAATGATCTCTACAGCACACAAGCGTTAGAGAGTCCTTAACCTTTTTAAGGGTTAAGGGTATTGCATATACGAAAAGCCTTTATGGATGTCTACGTCTTTAAAGGTTTTTATGAGCATTTAAGAAACTGTGGGTAACTATCCCCAGAGCTGCTTCACGAGTCTTTTGCGAAGCATTTAAGGCCTTTAGGAACATTCATAGCAAGCTGTAGCCCAGCCCCTTGCGTGTCAAAATTCTGTATAATTTTGAATAACCCTCATCTGTCAAACTTTGAGGAACACATGTGTATTATGTTAAATGCGGACTGGGAACTTTTTCCATGCTTGAGAAAATATATTGAAGAGAATTTCATTCTGACCACGGTTCAACTTTTTTTACTTTTGCATTGTTAATAAATGATGTTACCTAACGCATGCGACTCATACCTATTGTAAAAAGTCAAAAAAAAAAAGTGCTAAAAAAGACATGTGATTAGGTAATTTTCATTACTCATTGCGTGGAACTAGGTATCTCGCTTTATACCTACTCGTATGTTGTAAGATATTGCGTAACTTATGTGTTCAAACTAGTGATGTTAAATTACACGTTTTTTAAAGTGCGTAATATTACGTGTAAAATTACCAATTGTTTGTTTTTTATGTATTTTATGTATTTTATGTAACTTACCATTTTTTTAAAAAAACCGTAATTTTACAGTAAAATTACCAGTAATTTATGTTTTTTACGTAATTTACAAATATTTTTGTAAAATGACCTGTCATTTATGTTTTTTATGTTTATTTTAATATTCCATACAAACCTTTGTGAATTTTGTGAGTGTTTGAAAACAAAAACACTTGTGTTAAATTATATATTTTGGTGTATTAAATAAAATACCCAAGCAGTAGGTATTTATCGACTGCACCAAAATTTCTCGGGAAAACACTTTTTCTTATTAATTTGGGTGCGTACTTTTTCGATCAAACTTCTTAATCAAAAGTTATAGACTAGAAACCAATTTCGAAAAAAAATTCAAACGGCTGTAACTTTTGAACTAGTATCCCAATCTTGGAACTGTTTGAAATTACGGATTCTACAGGCCACATTCTATAAGAAAAATTTTTTTCCGGGTCGATCCGAGACAATTTTTTTTTCGGGGCTCAAAAAACGCAGTGTATAACCTTCCTTTTTTTACCAAAAATCGACTACACCAAAATTTCTCGGGAAAACACTTTTTCTTATTAATTTGGGTGCGTAGAATCCAAATCAATTCTTACTTTTTCGATCAGACTTCTTAATCAAAAGTTATAGACTAGAAACCAATTTCGAAAAAAAATTCAAAGGGCTGTAACTTTTGAACTAGTAGCCCAATCTTGGAACTGTTTGAAATTATGCATTCTACAGGCCACATTCTATAAGAAAATTTTTTTTCCGGGTCGATGTGAGATAATTTTTTTTTCGGGGCTCAAAAAAAGGCAGTGTAACACCTTCCTTTTTTACCAAAAATCGACTGCACCAAAATTTCTCGGGAAAACACTTTTTCTTATTAATTTGGGTGCGTAGAATCCAAATCAATTCGTACTGTTTCGATCAGACTTCTCAATCAAAAGTTATAGACTAGAAAGTTCAAACACGAACATTTGCAATACCTACGACAAACTGTTATCTTCCTCAAAAAAACATCGGTAAACGAATTTTTCAAAAGAGGAAATTGCAAAACACTCCCAAGCTGTTACTATTAACAACACTTTTTCTCAAGCTACGTTTAAGTAACGATCGTAGCTTGATAATGGAGATTGTATCTCGATGTGAAAAATAGAATCTAGTGGTAAACAACTCGTGCAACAAAAAAAATGGATTGTTTTGAAAAAGAAGTATATATACATTCAAAAATCTTAAATCTAAATTAGAATTATTTCACAATGAAGAGCTTAATAACACTGCTGGTTACTTTATTCCTTTCTGTGCACTCGCAGGTATTTATTTTTACTTTTGAGCTTCACAATAATCGCAGTCATTTTGTTTTGAACACGCGCTTCATTAACTTCGTTTCCATTTCAGCTACCCCAGCATCTTATTGACGATTGGAACGCAGTTCAAAACCCCCATCGCGAGAAGTGTGTCAACCTAACGAAAATAGATCCATCACTACCAGAGAGACTACTTACGGAGATGCATGTTCCCGACGACGATGGTTTCAAGTGCTATCTAAAATGCGTCTTGGAGAATGTGAAGGTGATAGTCGGTAATGACATCGATGTCGACACACTGTCCGCAGTAGTTCATATGACACGCGACCTTTCCGAAAAGTGTGCCAACGCAACTCGGAGCGAAAGTGACGCATGCAGAAAATCATTTATTCTTACAGGGTGTGTATTGCAAAATCAATTATAAAGGGTTACTATAGAGATTTGTTAATATTATAAAAAATAAACTTATGCACTTTTAACTCTTCATCATCCAGTCCAGGCATATAAATAAAATAATATTCAGGAGTGCTAATCAACATATTGATGACTAAGGAAGTACAGTTAACAGTACTCTTTGTACCAGTCATGATGGTCATAATGATTGTCGTCAAACATCTCTTCGCAGTAAGTTTACCTATCAAAGATGTATCCATTGTTAGGCCATTTAGTTTTGAATTTTGGGCAAAATTGACAACAAACACATTTCTTGGGTACTAAAAAATTGATTCCGGATTGTGGTGCAGATTTTTTATTTTTTTTTGCCTTTATTTTATAGTGGGCGGAGTGTTAGCTAATTAGCTATTCTCCCCACTCAACCCACTATACAATCACAAACAGCCATGCCTTACCTGGGATTCGAACCCAGGACCCTTGTATTGTAGCCAGAGCTAGAGCTACTAACGTAAACTCATCTGAGCTACACAGGTTGGCAAGATATATAAATTAGGTGAAAGTGACATGTCAAAACAATAATTAATTTTGGAAGCAAATAAGGAATCACTCCAAAATCAAATTCGATCAGTTTTATAGAACCTTTACATGGACAAGTGCCATTTAATCCGAAACATTTCTGTAACGGAACAAAGACGCCTTTAATTATTAACTATGGCGGCGTCTCACATCGTATTCGAACAAATTTCAGCTGAAACGCTCAGATTAATTTTCCTTTAAATATCAAAAGATCCTTCAAATTTCATTTATATGGCAGATGTTACTATATAATTATAATAAATCAATGTCAATGTGAAAAGAGTTTAGGATGCCAAGTTTAGGTTTCTTTACTTTTCCTCCATCGATACAAGTTCAAAAAAATTCTTTAAAGTACGTAACGTTTTCAATGTCAAATGCTACGTAAATTTAGATGTAGTTTACTTTACCTTCCTAATTTTAATGCTTTAAATTATTTATATGCAACTTTAATGTTGTTATAAAATCGATGATGTTATTTTACCCAGTTCAGTGCGTCTTTGGTTAGTTAATAAACTTAAGCGTGGATACACATAAAATAATAATATTGGGAAAATGCCAGTTAGTTACGTTTGTATCGAGTAATGTGTTGAAAAGGATATTTAAATTTACGACCACCTACTGACGATAGACTTCTGATGCATTTCTAAATCACGTTTTTCTATAAACTGCATTACTGCATACCATTTGTGCTTTCTCGGAAAGTTATTTTGAAATTTAAAATGTACCCAAGTACAAATACCATTACATTAATTACACTGGCAAACGTGATAGTTTTGATTGACAGACTTTATAATTAACACTAGTAGCGACAGTAAAAAG